TATTTGGCTTGGTGTTGTCTTCCTGGTTTTCCTTTTGTTAGGGGCTCTCTGCAGTTCTGTCACTTGTCTGTTTCCTTTCCCAGAGTGGGGAAGTTTTCAATAATTATTTCTTCAGAGAGGCTTTCTATCCCTTTATCTCTCTTCTCCTACTGGTACCCCTGTTATGCAAATATTGTTTTATTTTGATTGGTCACATAGCTCTCTTATCATTCTTCCATTCTTTAAAATCCTTTTTCTCTCTATTCATCAGCTTCATTGTGTTCCGGTTCTCTAATTTCCAGCTTTGTTGTGTTCTGGTTCTCTAATTTCCATCTCATCAAGTGTCTCCTCTCCTTACAGTTATCTACTATTAAATCTCTCCATTGTGTTTCACCTCAGATAGTGTATTCTTCAGCTCTGAGTGGCTCTTTTTCAGATGTTCTTTTTGTTGAAGTCCTTCAATATTTTTCTGTAAATCTATAAGCATGTTTATGACTTTTAATTTGAAATCTTTATCAAGAAGGTTGGTAATCTCCATTTCATTTAGTCCTCTGCCTGGTGTCATGTCCTATAGTTTTGTTTGGAGCATATTCCTCTGCCTCCTCATTCTGGTAGGGTTTCTGTGTTTCTTCTTTGTATTAGATGGCTCTGCCATGCTTCCTGGCCTGTAGAGTATTAGCTTAATGAGAGAGGTGTCTTATGGTTCCAAGATGCTCAAGAGTTTTTACTCTTCAGTGTCTAGTGTGCGGGAGTTCTAGCTATTGGCATGCATTGGGTGGGGTCACCTTTCTGTCTGTGTTCTGAGTTTGTGTGGGTAGTTTGCTTCAGCTGTGCCTTTGTGAATCAAGCAGAAGCCTCTCCTGGAATTGGTGTGGACAGGGGTGCAGGGTTAATGGGATGGTCAGGCTAATGTCTGGCTCTGCCCGGGCCTGATGTATAGCACTGGGCTTGGACCCCCACAGGGAGGAGGGAGCTCCTGGTGCTGGCTCCTGCATGCCCTCCCTGATTGGGCTAAAATGGAGCCAAGACCTCTGCCTGCCAGGCAGCAAAGAGTGACGCTACTGCTGGGCCAAGTGGGTTGACTTGCAAACAATGCACACAGAGAGGCAGCTTGGGGCTGTGTTGCCAGCAAGGGAGATGGAGCGTCCGGGACTCCCGAGAGTTCCTGACCTGTTGGGCTGAGGGAAGGCTGGGGAAGTATCATCTACCTGCCCTTTCTCCTGATGGGAGAGTGCTGTCCAACCCTCACCCCTCTAGTACCCCTCTCATTGGTGGCAATTCTTTCAGACTGCTACCTCTGCTTTTGTTGCAGGGACCTGTCTCAGGCAGAGCTTGCCTGTTCTCCACAAATGGCTGGAGTCTCAGCCTCCCAGAGTGTTCCACCTTTCCCTGGTGTCCAGCTCCGCTGATCCTCAGAATCCAATGTAATGTGGGCTCATGCTCCTAGAGTAGATCTTCAGGGCCAGATGTGCAGCAACCCTGGACTCCTATCTCCTTTCCACTCTGTTCCTCTTTCTCCCTCCTGTGGGCTAGTTTCGGAGGAGGGCTTGGGTCCTGCTTGATCTTTACCCTTTTCTGTGTGGTCTTTTCTTTCCCCAGGTATTGGTGGTCTCTTCTGCAGCTTTTAGGTACTTTTCAGATTTAGTAATATTTGCTGTATTCTTTTACATGTTTTTGGGAAGAGGTTTCTGACTTTCCTTCCTACTCCACCATTGGTTTTTGAAAGCTTCCATATTTAAGTCAGAAAATTAAGCATAATAAATAGGTTTATGGTCAAATTCTGATGCTATGGTTTCCTTTCCACTTTGAAAATAAGAAATGGACTGTAGACTACCATCTTTTCCCTTTTGCAGATATTGGTATATTTTTCTCTAGAATGTTCCAGATTAGAAGGGTAGTGACTTATTCCAATATCAATACTTTTTTGTCAAAGATGATACATGAAATTTCCAAAGCAAATATTTGTTCCTTTGATTTTTTCTTGTACAATTCAGTGATAGTAATTAAGGTGTAATACTCATGAAGTGGAATAAATTAAGCTAACAAAATTGTTTCCCAAAGTTCTTTAATTGATCGTGGGTTGATAAATAGTCCATTTTTTATAACTCATTATTCATTTTTCTAATTACCATATTGTTGTAAAACTTCTCTCTTATTCAAATATAAAAGCTTTTGTAATTACTGTGCATGTACTCAGTACTGAAATTATTTTTGTCTGATTTTAATAACTTTAAAGGAGAGACCCCTCCATAGATTGTCCTTCATCTTGGTTGGTATCTCATTCCTTGACTTTATTTTCACTGGTCCTTTTCTCCATTCACTTTAGACATTTACCCCCCAGGGCCACATTCTAGAACTTGGAAGTCATGCATTCAGGCATCCAACTCTTGAGATTTTCTTTCTCTTGATTATCTTCTGTATTTTCAATTTCACTGTCTTTACTAACTTCTTCCTATTAAAACATGTTCAGGTCTTTTCCATTTAAAAATAAAAATACTACCTTTCTGTGACTCTGTGTTTTCAGAACCTTCCCATCCTATCATTCACTCTCCTCCCATTTCTAGTCATGCTTTTATGCAGCAGTATTGATGATGTGCCTGGCACTATTCTAGGTGCTTGTGGTACATCAGTGAACCAATCAGACTTATCAAAAGTGGCTACTTTTAATCTGGCCTGCCCCAGTCCAACTTGCACCTCATCCTACCACAGTATATGTGGGCATTCTCCCCCACACTCACCTTGGCTGAGACAACCTTTTCCTTTGCTATATCCAGTGGTTCCTTCTCTGTTATTTTACATGACTTCTCAAGTAGCATTTGTCTTTTTTTTTTTAAAGCTATTTTTTTTGACAGAAAGTTGTAGAAATGGTACAAAGATCTTTTGCCATTTAAATGCAGATTTCCAACATGCTGCCCCTTCACCCCCAAACACTTTCTGTGTTTCTTATAAACAAGCACATCCTCCTACATAACCACAAAAGTACCAAAAAATCAGGAAATTAACAATGATACATCTAATTCTCAGACCCCATTCAAGTTTTGCCACTTGTCCCAATGACACCCTCTTAAGTGGTAGGATCTGGACTAATATGACATGTTATGTAGTTGTCACGTGTCTGGTTTCCTTCAATCTGGAACAGTTCCTCAGTCTTTTACTGACTTTCATAATATTTTTTATTAAGGTATCTTTGATATACACTCTTACGAAGGTTTCACAAGAAAAACAATGTGGTTACTACATTCACCCTTATTATTGAGTCCCCTCCCATACTCCATTGCAGTCACTATCCATCAGTGTAGTAAGATGCCACAGAGTCCCTGTTTGTCTTCTCTGAGCTACACTGTCTTCCCCATGACCCCACACACAATGTGCACCAATCATAATACTCCACAATCCCCTTCTCCCTCCCTCCCCACCTGCCCTCTCCCACACCTCCCCTTTGGTAACTGCTAGTCCCTTCTTGGAGTTTGTGAATCTGCTGCTGTTTTGTTCCTTCAGTTTTCAAGTAGCATTTGTCTTTAAAACTGTCTCTGCTGGGTTTCTGTGTTCTTTCCTGCTTCTGACTGTTCTTTTCAATCTTCTTTGTAGCATCCTGTTCCTCTGCCCATCCTTCAGTTATCAGTATCCCAGGCCTACTTCTCTTGGAAGTCTCATTTGCTCTTGTTGTTTCTTGGCTTTCATGGATAATTGCTTCAAAATTTTTATCTCCATCCAAGATCTTTTTCTAGACCCCAGACTATTAGTTCCAGCAGTCCACTAGACACTTCTAAGGTGGCTTATAGGACTTTATACTTGATATGCCTAAAGCTCAGTTCATCAGCCTTATTGTCCTGTTCCCAAAAGCTGTTCTTACACCAGCATGTACTGTCTCAGTGAATGAATGACCTCACCATATGCTTCAGTTTTCCATCCTAAATCATTTCCTCTTCCCTCACAACCAATAATCAATGCTTATTTGCTCCCTCTCTAAAACAAACAAAAAAATATATTTATCTTTTTTTATATATCTGTCTTGCCCCTGCTTTGCTCCCTCTCTAAAACAAACAAACAAAAAATCTATCTTTTATATATATATATATGTATCTGTCTTGCTCCTGCTTAAGTAGTGTATCCTCCTCTTGGAATTCTGTCTGGATCCTTTAGTTAAAGCTTAGTTGTCCCTGAAATGTATTCCATGGCACTGCACTTTATTCATCATGCCACTCTTCATACCATATTATAAATTTTTATGCACTTGTCTCCTGGGATAGACTAAAAAAGCTCACTATGGCCAAGTCAAGTATGTCTTTTGCTCACCATTAAGTCTTTAGCTCAAAAAACAACAACTAAGTGACTGGATTGCTAAATAGTTCTAACAGTTTTGTTTTACCTCTAAATATGTGATTCTTTACCTTTTGGAATTAAAACTCCTTTATGGGAGAAATTGTGAGAGAGCAATGTACTTTTGGAAAAATTCACATACAGAACTAGATAAAATTGGGCATGATTTTTCAAGTGATTAACAAATAATTTGGAAGCCCATCTATAGGTCTGGCTTGAGAATCTGTGCTAAAATCCAAATGAGACTTCTGTGATTTTAAAAACTGCCAGGCCATCCTTTTTTTGTTTTAATAGGTAACGTTTCTAAATATGTTAGACTTAAGTTGAAGTCTTCAGTAGAAATGGGGCCACTTCAAGTTTTTTTCTTAGAGTTATAAGTTTTTATTGATACATTTCGGAGTGAAAATTTTGGACAATCCTATTTGTCATATATTAAATTTATACACTAGATTTTAAGAGAACTCTTCATTGAGAATGTGTAAACAATAGTAACTACATTATAGCATATGATTTCCATGTAGTACATATTTTTTTTAATTTCCGAATTTATAATATTTACACTTCATTGTGTCAATGGTTTCTCTACATCTTTTTAATTTTGTTGTCTCCTCTCATTTTGAAATAAAGGAGTGTAGATCTTGCTTTATGAAAACAATCTAATTGAGATTTTCATTCATTTTTCTCTTGGGCTGCTTACCCAGGGGAATATTCTGGTGTGTATGATTTTTAAATACTTTAAAATTACTGCTTTTTAAGCTAGGAGTTCTTGGCTGCTATTCTCATTTAATGCTTTCTCATCTTTTTCTTTTCCCTGCTGAACTTTTTTTTTTTTGCCCTGCATATATTGTCAGCCTTTGTGCTTATCTTTCTATAAGCTTGAGAGTTTATAGCAAACATAGTCATTATATAAGCTTTTTTCAACCAGTCTAAACCCTATTTCTTCTGACTTTATAGCTTTATTGAAAAGTCAACATTAGTGTTTAAATCAAATATTTCAGCCAGTCTTTCCAAATTTTGGAATTGGAATCTGGAAACTTTCTGTTTGTCTTTATTTTCAGTTTCTGGAAAATATATAGATGATTAATCTACTATTTCTGATACTTAACTATTTCTGGTATTTAATTTTTCATGGTAGAAGTATCCTGATCTTTGAGAATACTTCAGATAGTTACAATACAGACAACATATGAGTCCACATGTCAGCATTTAATTTTTAGCATTCCATAGGTTGGTTTTAAATTAACTTAAAGTCATTTGATACATTACCTTTTTAAAAGTAAAGGATCATGTTAACTCCTTTGCCTCATAAAGTTTTCTTTAGAAATATTTCTTTAGGATATTTCCCTCCTGTTTAGCTTAGGTTAGGAGTATTACTTCTTACATTGTATGTGATTTTCCAACATTAGCTTAGGACAAGTAAGTAGTGAGTTTTGTGGTGTTTTGCTCTTCTTCTTTTTTAACTTTTTTAACTTTTTGAAATATATTCCCTAGTATGGTTGCTTCATTTCTGCAGTTTCTTATGAGTAGTGGATTAAATAGCTTTATTCTCCCTAAAGATCACCGCATTGGATCTTGTATCAAATGTTCTACCTGCCTACCTGACAGCACTCATTAAATTTTTAGACAGAATTCTATTAAGTAACAACTGAACATTGTCATTTCAGAGGTGGCACTTTGAAGGAAACTTTGTATTATTTATCTGAGGTTTTCATTCTCATACTCAATTTTATTGTACAAAAGAATTGGGAAAGCATTTTTTTTTTAGGTTTATCAGAGACATCTTTATGAATGAAGGAAATCATCTTAGTTTCTGTCTTTTGCACATCATTATGCGTTAAATCATAACATTGTAATTCCAGATGTTTTTCATATTCATGAATAAAACTTTACAGTAATTAATAACCTATTTCATGCTGTTTCTTATATAAATGTAAAACATTTCTTGTTCTTTGTTTTTGCTTTACATGGAATGCATGGGCTTTAAGACCATAATTTCTTTGGTAAGGTTTCATCTACATTGGGGTTCTGTCTTTCTTTGGTCTTATTTTTCCTGTTCTCTTATTTAAAAAAAACAATTTTTAGGCAAAAGCCTACAATACCAACTTCAATTTGGAAACGATTTCTGGTCCTGCTTATTGGTTTTTTTTTTCTTCTAAATACTGCTACTGTTTAGAACATTTGGCAGAAAAGTCTTGATCATTTTAAAATACATTTGAGAAACAAATACAGACTAACCATTACAAAGAATTGGCTAGTGAAATCTTCAGCTTTGTTTTGTGATGGAAATTATTTATAATTTATAATCCACACAAGTAAATAATATCAATTTATAGAATTTATAAATTAAAATTTGTGGCTGCAACTTATTATGTTGATATAATTTCTGATAAATTTATTTTTAAAGTTTTTATTCTTTTGATAGGAATGGGTCGTGAAGTTGAGAATCTTATATTAGAAAATACACAACTGTTGGAAACCAAGTAAGTATATACAAAATTTTAACAAGGAACAAAGATACTGAATTTTCTTCTTATCCAAGTCAATGATATGTCTTCAATTTAACATGGCAATTATGCAGTCTCACTACCCCATTTCATTCCCTTTCTCTGCATGTGGGCTTGTGTGTGCATACATGTACACAAGCAAATAGGTAAGAGGACTTAGTCTTACTGATATGGTTCATTGCTCTATGTTTTGCCGGATCAACAGATTTTCATTTCCTTTCTACTCTACAAGTATCCATGCCTTTCTCTTAATCTTTTGGATGTGTCCTGTGCTTGTTTTGCTCCCTCCTATGGGATGCCTATTTTCTTATCTCTTCTTCTGGGGTTTTTTATTTCTGCATAGATGTTTTGATCGACACCCAGCTTGCCTCTTCAGAGCTCTTCCCTGTAGTTGCAGATTCTCAGGTGTAATTCATGGATCTGAGGCCCTCAAATACATTAATAGTCATATTTAGTGGGACAGGTCTTAAATCATGTGGAAAAACAGATTGGGCCCTTTTGTTCATTTGCTGAGTCAGAGCAAATTTGGAACATCTGAATATATCCAAACCAGAATGTAGCTATAATGCATTCTCTATACCCAAAAAGAAGGAGGGTTTAGATTTTTTTTCTTCAGTTTTTTCCATTGTAGACTTTTTTCTCATTAATTATTAAATGTAAATTCAAGGATGAATTTTACTTTATTGATTGGATAATACCTTTTCATAACTTACTAATAGAACTCTTTGGGATATTGCTTTTTAAAAGTTTAATCTTCATTCTGGCATTTTGATTAGTTGGTGGTCTCCCTTGATTTATCCACTAATTCTTTGGTAAGTCAGAAGAGTAACTTAGACCATTGCTTTGTGTTATTGGGTTTTTTTTTTAATCTACAATCAACATCAGGTAGACTGTTTTTTAAGTATTCAATTAGCTGTATAATTGTATAGTTACTGTAGTCTACAGGAGAATAAGGAGAACAATGGAAAGAATATTTATTTGTAATGATGCACTTGAAATGTGTTTCCTAGAAATGCTTTGAATGTAGTAAAGAATGATTTGATAGCCAAGGTGGATGCACTGACCTGTGAGAAAGACGTGCTGCAAGGGGAACTGGAGGCTGTGAAACAAGCCAAACAGAAGCTGGAGGAGAAGAACAGAGAGCTGGAGGAAGAGCTTAGGAAGTAAGTTCTCATTGTTGCCAGGCCAGCGTGCCTTAAAGGATTACAGGGGAACCCTGAGACTCATGCCTTCACCCTCAAGCCAGGAAGGCCCCAGAGCTGCCCGGGATAGGGTGCAGTGCCTGAACACTTGCCCCTGCTGTGAGCACACCGTTCCACTTACCCAGTATAAGGTTTTGTGTCTGTCATGGTGTGAAAAAAGTTAGAAGAAATATTCAAATATTGCTAATCAGAAAATTAGAAATGTTATTTTCCTTTGCCCAGCTTCTTTAAATCCTTTTTTTCTGATAACAGTGCTATGATAATGTTCCCTTAAATGAGGGCAATGAAATACCCTGTTTGGGGAAAGAAAAACAGCCATTTAATGGTGGCTAAAAGTTTTGACCTACTCTTTCATTCTTTGAAAAAATGAACTCAACTCAAATAACATGTTTTGTTTTGTTTTTTCTCCACTAGAGCTCGTGCAGAAGCTGAAGATGCAAGGCAAAAAGCAAAAGATGATGATGATGTAGGTTTATAATTTGGACCTTTTTTCTTGCCACCTTTGTTATTTTTGGAAAGTCTTGCTAATTAAGCTTTGGATATAGCATTGTAAAGGTAAAGCCAGAAGATATGTTTAGGGTCACGAATAGGATAGCTCCCATTCCCACATGGTGCTGAGTTCTGTAGCTGCATGTAGTGTGCACAGCCGTGGCTCTGCTGTGACCCGTGTTGGTGCATTCAAGCTTGAGGACCAGCTGGGATATTAGGGTTTTTTTTGTTGGTGGTGTTTGTTCTGTTTCACCTTTTGACATAGAAATGTGAAAGCTTAATAATAAAAAGTTGTTTAAATAATAAGAGTTGTACTAAACATAAAAAGATGAAGCGTACAACTTTAGTCCTAAAAAGTTAGCTCATATTTTTGTCGACATACATAAATAAAAATGAATAACTATAAGCTTCTTGCCAGTATAATTAGCAGGCTAGTAATTTTGTTGGTAGCTAGATGATCATTCCTGTAATGTATGTTTGCTGGTCAAGCATCAGACTTGAGATATGTGGGTGTCTTGCACAGAATGAACATTTGGTGCCCCTTCAATCTCTTGTTTGTTTTCATTTTATGTAATATTTTTTGATACATACAAAAAATATATGTAACCTATGTAAGTCATGAAACTTAATACAATAACATTATGAATCCACCACCTCACCTAAGAAGTAAAACTTTCTCAAACACTGAAGCTAACCTGTGCTCCTGCCCTCTAGAAGAAAGTATCCTTTATACTGTAGTTAGTCTTGTAGACTTGGTTCTTTTACTTAGTGTTATATTTTTGAGATTTACCTGTATAGAGTAAAGAGCTGTAGTTATAGAGTATAGAGCTTTAGTTCCTTCATATTCACTGCTTTATAGTCCATTATAAGAATATACTGTAATTGGCTGCTCCTTCTCTCTGTGGGCAGCCATTTTCTCTTTCAGATAATAAAATCTCTAAAAAAAAAAGAATATACTATAATTAATGTATTTGCTTTCCTATTAATGAATATTTAGGTTGTTCCCAGCATTTTACTATCACAACAGTGCTGTTATAAACAGCATTACAAGTCTCCTGGTTTTTCCAGGGTACACATCTGGCAGTGAGATTGCTGTGTTGGAGACTCAAAGTCCTTTAGTCATTTGACTTACATTTAAAGGAGAAGCTAAGTTCTGTGACAGGAGGACAATGGAGATTGCTAAAGGCTAAACTCAGCCTCTTTATTGCTGTCCAGTACCTTTCAGCTTTAATCCAAGTTGTGTATGCTCCATTCAGCAAAACAAAAGCCCTACAGTTAAACAACCTTCCTCCTCAGAAGAGCACTTAAAATTATAGTAGAAGGAAATTACAGCACATGCCCCTTTGGGGTCTTACCATACTCACATCCCTTTTCTTCCTAAGGAAATTCTGGTCAATACAGTTGTCTTCGTCTTGTATTTCTATTGGTGTTTTCGTGACCCTTGAATTTGGGTACTTTGGTAACTAGCCAATAAGTTTGCACTTTATGCTGGTGGTGGGTAAGATTGGTAGTTTCAGATAAATGAACCTTTTTGGAAACTACTAATAATTAGTTTCTGAATAACTAACATATGTTATAGAATGTGAATTTTAAATAATGTTAGAGCAACATTTCCAAGTGAGTATATTAAATCTTTATAGATAATAGTTAACATTTTTAGTTTTAGTTCAAAATTTGTACTACTTATATTTCTTTTACAATATGTTACAATATCTGTATATTCAGAAATTAAACTGTCTACCTCTTTTTAGTCATAAGTAATCACTGTATCTCTATTATTTTTTTTTTTTTGTAAGACCATTTTTCTTTAAATGATCCATTCATTAGATTGGAAGTTACGGAATGTTTAAATTTTAAAGATTTTGCTCAAGTCTAATACGAAACCAAAACAGACACGGGCTCCCAGACTGATCTCTACTCTTCTTTTCACTGTAGAGTGATATTCCCACAGCCCAGAGGAAGCGGTTTACTAGAGTAGAAATGGCCCGTGTTCTAATGGAGAGAAACCAATATAAAGAGAGATTGATGGAGCTTCAGGAAGCTGTTCGATGGACAGAGATGATTCGGTTTGTATGAGAAATACCTTTGATGTTTTTCTAGTATTGATTCCTACGTTTGAATATTATTTCTTCATTTAAAACTAGAGTCCTGTCTTCGGGGTCCAAGTCACTTGCTCTGTTTACTACGAGAGACTTTCTAAAGTAACAATAGGAATCAATAACAGAATGTGATGGAAGTACGGGGTGCCTTTGGGGAGTACAGGCTCCTGAAGAATGTTCCTATGACCTGCAAAGGCATGTTGTCATTTAGGAAAGACGGTCATCTTTCAAAAGAACATAGAAGTTGACAATACTGGTACAATAATATCATGAAAAGATAAAAATGTCACACTCCACATAGGAAACTAAATTATTTTTACTCATTGTCTTCCTGTAAAACACCCTTGCCTCTTCGTATGTTCCCCCACTTTGATGCACCGTCCATTGACATCTTTGTCTTGGATCTTAAGTCTCGTCTAATGCTGCCATCTAACGGCCATATTATCAGTATCAGTAGTCCTTTAATAAAGAGCTCATGAAAAGTTTGTAAATTAGTTGTCCCTTAATTTGTCCATATTTTTGAGTTTGGGTTGTCACATCAGATTTACCAATAACGGTACGCACTGACACACTGTTTTAAAGTTTATGAACACTTTTTTTTAACTTTCAGCTTTTACTTCCTCATGATCACATCATTTATTTAATAATTTATATATCCTTTACCAAAGTCACACTAGAACAAAGTGTTTTGTGTAGCACATTTATTATCTGCTAAAATTGTAATTGTTTATAGCTGCTAAAAAGGAGAGAGATGAGTATTCTAACCCTCATTTGCTGGACAAAGAAATGAATGTACTACAACGTGTGTCCTTAACTCCAGCATTTAATGGATGTTAAATAATGAATAAATATTTTAAAAACTGAGGCATATAGGGAGGCTCCACTTTTCAATGCTATTTTTAATTCTAGTAGCCAAGTGAAAAGATATGGTAACTTATTTTTAACATTTTCATTGAATTAGAGATGTTTTAAATTCCGTTCTCAAAAAAAAAGAAATGAATAGCGGGGTCTGATAGTGATGGCAGAGTCCTTACCTATTAAATCATCTGGGAGTGCCTTATTTTCTGCGGTTTTGTTGAATTGTCTTTCCGTCTAGTTTATCCCCTTCCCTCGTCTTCTTTTCAGTGATAGAAAAGTTTTAGTCTTCTGAAAAATGACCCATCAGAACAGTAAAGTTACAAGCTATTTTTTCAAAGCTGAGAGCATAAGACTAGAGATCTTTATGTAAAGACAGGGATTTACAAAGTAGTAATACTTTGATAAAAGAGGGAATTGGAGGATATCTCTTTAACAAAACCTTTTAAATACTAACATTTGGACACACTGGGCATTTGTCTAGCACAAATAACTTTCTTGTCTGAGTAGACTGAACTGTTTGAGGGAGGGATGGTGTTTACCTTACTTGTATTAGCCTTGGCAGACTGACTGACACATGGTAGGTCAAAGTCACTATTTACTAAACTTAATTGTTGGTTCTCTGTGTAGCCCATGAAGTTCTTGGGTCCCTTATTCTTCACATAGAAAGCTAGAACACCTCAATGATAACACATGTTTTTCTTTCTTCCTTTTTTTCTCTTTTTTAATGTAGAGCATCAAGAGAAAATCCAGCCATGCAGGAAAAAAAAAGGTCAAGCATTTGGCAGTTGTAAGTATCTAAAAACACACAAAGACATTACACAGTACTTTGGCCCAAGAAGAATACAGTCAGAATTTATTTTCAAGAACGATTTTATGTGTTCTTTCTTATTTCTTTTTAAAATTTGGGGTGTAAAGCTAAACTGAACTTTTTCTTTTTGATATGTAGTATGCCAACTCGGTAAGGCTGTCCTTAACAACAAATATGCTGTCGTAAGCTGCATCATGTTGGCTATGCATTTAATGGAATCCTCTTCCAAATTAAATAAAATAATGGGAAATATTCAGAATTGATAATTACCTGAATTCCCATTAAATAAATTATTGATTCACTGGTTGTGTGATTGTGTACAAAGTGAAATTTAGTGTTTGTGGAGTTTGAGTAGTGTGTGTTTGTTTTTTGGACTTGAATTATGTTTGTGCTACAAATACTGTGTTTTTACTGTACTTAAAACTTAACCTTTTTTGGTAAATCTGCTATTTAATAGAAGTGCTGTTTTTAAGTGGATGTGAAAGCAATTACTTAAATTGAACTTAATAACAAAATGTGTAAGGTGTATATTAAAATGATAATACATGTTCTAGTAGTTTATTATAACTATTTTTAGAACGGGTGTACCAAGCTTCTGTTCAAATCCTGCAGCCATAACCTTGCTGTTTAACAGCTGCTCCTAGGTTGCACCAAGTAGGAGCTAGCTAAAGAAAGCATCTTATTTCTTCATTAAGAGAGTTTCCCTGTACTTAAGAGTTTCTTCCTTTCATTATGTGAATTGCAAATTAAAGAACAGGGATCTGTCATTCTAAGCAATTGTTTCTTTTTCCTGAATGTCTGAGTTTGGCTATGAGTTATTGCTAAGGCACTAACTACAGAATATTTTTCTGCCAGTTTCTAACTCATTGCCTTGTAAAAATTTTTCTGCCAGTTTCTAACTCATTCGTTGCCTTGTAAAACCACTCTGGGATTTATGGAAAACTATGGATTGTACTTCACAGTGCATGTAAAGTACTTTTATTTATTTTAGTTTTAGCCGACTTTTCAGCTCTTCAAGTAATACTGCTAAGAAGCCTGAACCACCTGTTAACTTGAAGTACAATGCACCCACTTCTCATGTGACTCCTTCTGTCAAGAAAAGAAGCAGCACCTTATCTCAGCTCCCTGGAGATAAGTCCAAAGCCTTTGATTTCCTTAGTGAAGAGTGAGTATTTTCCAAACAAGTGTTCATGCCCTAAATAAATTAACAGTTCAGAATATTCTTGCCCCTTAAGAGATCAGCTATCAGGGTTCAGATAAGACTATAAAAAAACTATTTCTGTAACTTGGCTACCTTTAAGTAAATTACTTGTAGTCAACACCTTTTATGAAAATTACATTTCACACTTTCATAAAGAAAAAGAATTTAGAAAAAACACAAATGTCTCCTTTTTACTGGTATGATAACATTGATAAATATTAATAGATATGGCCTATATAAGCCTTTACCCTAAATGTTTGAACATTCCGTTTGGTATCAGAAGGACTTGGTTTTCCATCCTGACTCTGCTAAATTATTCTATGAATTTGGGCAAGTTAACCTCGCAGAGTCCCAGTTTCTCTCCCTGTAAAAGGAGTATGATAAACTATCTCAAAGATGTTGGGATTAAATTATATAGTGTCTACAAAGTATCTGACACGTAGGTAGATTTGTTAACTACAGTATACACACCAAGTCAGCTCACAAAAATTTAAGTAGCCCAAAGAAAAACATTAATTTCAGGATCATTTTCATAGTATTTTGCTCCATAGTCCTAAAGTTCACCAAGTTAGCTTGACTCTTCATCTTGAGAAACATGTTAGTGGGATCCTAAATTTAACCTGTATTATCTTCCTAAGAAATATTGATTTATTGATTTTAGTCACTTCTAGCATATTCCCTGGCATTAGAAAATTCTCAGTAAATATTTGACTTGAATGAATAAAAAAAGAAGGAATCAAAAATACTTAAGAATTGTGCCCTTTCTATGGCCGAAATCTGAAACCTGATAGAAATTTGATGGCTGATGATTCAACATACTATAACTGAGTGCTTGCTAGTCTTTTAAAGCTTAGACATCAAATTCAATGCACAACTTTTTTAAAAGACTAACTTTAGTATAATACTTTTTAAGGAAGAATTTTAGCCTGAAGTAAACCACTCTGAAATCATGTAATTTCTTGTTACTTTTGCTATTTTAGAGGGAGGGGGAAATAAGCAGTTGTTCTATTCACTTAACTTAAAAAGGAAATTTGTTTTCCTTTTAGAACTGAAGCTAGTTTAGCCTCACGCAGAGAACAAAAAAGAGAACAGTATCGTCAGGTGAAGGCACATGTTCAGAAGGAAGATGGTAGAGTGCAGGCTTTTGGCTGGAGTCTGCCTCAGAAGTACAAACAGGTAATGAGACTGTGGTAAGAGCATCTACTGAGAAATGCCCAGGGAGAGGACTCTGCATGGGCATGAAGGAGTCAGACACACACCCAAAACCTGCTTGGTTCAAGAGGCATGGACTTGGCACACACTTAAGAAAAGTATTGAGGGTAGTGATTTTCAGACTGTTGTTAGAGCCCGAAAGCTCAAAAGAAATGCCTCTGAGCCTGGGAGGAGGGAAGAGGGGTCAACAGGAGGTGGCCGAGTGCATGAAATGTGAGGTATCCTGATTGTTTGTTTCTTGGGTTTCTGTCTTGTTTTGTTTGTATTGAGGTATAACTGACATACAACATTACATTCATTTCACATGTAAACATAATGATTCAATATTTGTATATATTGTGCAATGATCATAAGTCTATGATCGTTTGGTTCCATTGGTCACCATACATAGTTACAGAATGGTTCCTTTTTCTTGTGATGAGAGCTTCTAAGGTCTCTGTGCAGCACAGTGTTACTAACTATAGTTACGCTATATGTATGCGATATCCCCAGTGCTATATGCGATATCCCCAATGACTTATTTCTTGTTAACTGGAAGTTTGAACTTTTTGGCTCCCTTCACCACCACCACCACCCTGCCTGAAGCCAGTCTGTTCTCTGTATCTTTTAGTTTGTTTGTTTGGTTTTTTTTTAAGATTCAATATGTGAGATCAATACTGTATTTGTCTTTCTCTGTCCAACTTATTTCACCTAGCATAATGTCATCAAGGCCCATCAATGTCACAGATAGCAAGATTTTATTCTTTTTTATGGCTGAATAATATTCCATTCTTTATATATACATTTCCTTTATCTGTTCATCCATCAATGGACACTTAGGTTGTTCCTATTTTTTGGCTATTGTAAATAATACAGTGAACATGGGAGTGTAGATATCTTTTTGAATTAGTGTCTTCATTTTTTTCTGATAAATACTCAGAAGTGGAATTACTGAATCATATAGTTCAATTTTTTTATTTCTTAAGGAAAACCTCTACTGTTGTCCATAGTGGCTATACCAATTTACATTCCCACTTAACAGTACATGATGGTTCACTTTTCTCCACATCCTGACCAACCCTTGTTATTTTTTATCTTTCTGATAATAGCATTCTTCCAAGTGTGAGGTGATAACTCAGGTTTTGTTTTGTTTTTTTTGTAGATAATTATTTTTTATTGAAGGGTAGTTGACACACAGTATTACATTAGTTTCAGGTGTACAACACAGTGATTCAACATTTATATACATTATAATTCTAGCTACCAGCTATCATCATACAAAGTTGTTACAATATTTTTACTATATTCCTTATGCTTTACATTTCATCCCAGTTACTTATTTATTTTACAACTGGAA